GTTGGAAGGTGTGGTTGGTTAGCAGGTGGTGGTAATCTCATTTATGGCAGGGTGTGATTAACAGCATGCTGTCCTTTATGCTGTGTGTCAGTATGAACTTCACTGTTTCAAGATGATTGCAAAATTGGGTTCTTTGAACTTTGTGGATAGTGACTTGCCCCAGATAAGGGTGTGTGGGTATGTGTGTGTGTGTGTGTCATGGGGAGGGGAAGGCTGCTCCCTGTGGAGTATCTCTTGGAGGGCCTGGTAGGGTTGCCAGGTGTCTGATTTTTGACTGGAACAGGGACCCTGGTGGCTCCAGTCAGCACTGCCGACCGGGCCATTAAAAATCTGGTTGGCAGTGCTACGGGGCTAAGGCAAGCTAGTCCCTACCTATCCTGGCACCGCGCTGCACCCCAGAAGTGGCAGCAGGTCCGGTTCCTAGGCGGGGGAGCCATGGGGCTCTGTGCTGCCCCCGCCCCGTGCACCGGCTCCACACTCCCATTGGCCAGGAACCAAGTAGATTTCTACTTGGTTAGGGTTATGTCTACATTGCAAAAGAACAAAGCAAAACAAAAAAGGGCAGGGGATGTAACTCAGGTTAAAATAGCAGTGAAGACACAGCAACTCTGCCTTTAACTCAGGTTAGCAGCTTGAGTTAAAGCCTGTTAGGGGATTGAATTTAAGATGCTAACCTGACTTAAGAGCAGAGTTGCTGTGTTTTCACTGCTATTTTAATGTGAGTTAGCTAACAAGCTAACTCACATTAAGATCCCACCTTTCTTTGCAGTGCAGACATACCTATAGTAAGCAAGCATAGCTTATTACTATACGTATATACACCTCTACCCAGATATAACACGAATTCGGATATAACGTGGTAAAGCAGCACTCCAGGGGGACAGGGCTGCGCACTCTGGCGGATCAAAGCAAGTTCGATATAATGCGGTTTCACCTATAACGCGGTAAGATTTTTTTTTGGCTCCCAAGGACAGCGTTATATCAAGGTAGGAGGGTGGTGTGTGTGTGTGTGTGTGTGTGTGTGTATATATATATATATATAATTATATATATATATATAAAAAATCATACAAAATGATGGAGTCTAAATTAGCTGTTACCACTCAAAAAAGAGATCTTGGAGTCATGGTGGATAGTTCTCATCCACTCAATGTGCAATGGCAGTCAAAAAAGCGAACAGAATGTTGGGAATCATTAAGAAACGGATAGATAAGAAGACAGAAAATATCCTATTGCCTCTGTATAAATCCATGGTACACCCACATCTTGAATACTGTGTGTGGATGTGGTTGCCCCATCTCAAAAAAAGATATATTGCAATTGGAAAAGGTTCAGAAAAGGGCAACAAAAATGATTAGGGCTATGGAACGGCTTCCGTATGAGGAGAGATTAATAAGACTGGAACTTTTCAGCTTGGAAAAGAGACAACTAAGGGGGGATCTGACAGAGGTCTATAAAATCATGACTGGTGTGGAGAAAGTAAATAAGGAAGTGTTGTTTACTCCTTCTCATAACACAAGAACTAGGGGTCACAAAATGAAATTAATAGGCAGCAGGTTTAAAACAAACAAAAGGAAGTATTTTTTCACACCGTGCACAGTCAGTCTGTGGAACTCCTTGTCAGAGGATGTTGTGAAGGCCAAGACTATAATAAGGTTCAAAAAAGAACTAGATAAATAAATGAAGGATAGGTCCATCAATGGCTATTAGCCAGGGTAGGCAGCGATGATGTCCCTAGCCTCTGTTTGCCAGAAGCTGAGAATGGGCGACAAGGAATGGAACACTTGATGATTACCTGTTCTGTTCATTCCCTCTGGGGCACTTGGCATTGGCCACTGTCAGAAGACAGGATATTGGGCTAGATGGACCTTTAGTCTGACCCAGTATGGCCAATCTTATTACATTAATTGATCTCTTTAGTTTTGGCCATGTCTGTCAGCCTGCCCTTCTGCACAGGGTGTTAGTTGTTTTCAGCCAGATCTCCACACAATGCATGTGACCTTTCAAGTTTCTGACTAAAAAGTGCTTGCATGAGCCTTTTAAAAAATTATGCTTGGCTTTATGCAGTGTTGAAAAACCTTATTTTTTGTGTGCTGATAACTTGCTGAAACACTTGCACAGCTGTATAATCTTAGCATGCCTCATTAAACTACTGGTCTGCTAGCAACTTGGACCTTTCTTGAAAACCAAACTTCACTTGGGCTCTCTATTTATGCAAACATCTCAAACTGCATTACAGTTAGCACAGTCATTACTCACACAACAGTACAGAAGAAGCCTTGACTACTAGATCAACTGACTTTTTCCCTTCTAAACACTAGTTTACATTGAAACTGGATCTTTAATAGCTCTAACTAGCAGAGTTTGTTGCAGCTTCAGTACTGCTAATAATATATTAAGTGTTTTCATTGCTGTAAAAGAAGCCCCTGCATGGGATAGTTGCAGCTGAAAACGATAGTGTTTAGCTGCATTTTGTACTTTCGGGTTGGGTGTGGTCCCTTAAAAATAGTTATGAATAATGGCTGCTGGTATCTTGCCATAATTCAATAGATTCCATATAAAACCTGTTCTTTTCTATTTTAAACTCCAAATCTCTCCAAAGTTAATCTGTTCCTAGTGCTGTGTTATCATTCTTCAACTCCCAAGAGCCTAACGACACACACTTTGCAGTTTCATCTGCCCCACTGCAAGGAGTTAGCTGGTTAGTCTAGGCAGCTGTAAGAATCTAACTTCAGGATGGGCTCTGCTAAGCATATCAGTAGGGTGGGGAGAGGGAATTAAAACTGTGTGAGAGAGACTGGGGAAGAGCAGAAGTTAAATTATGTTTACATGTCTTGCCTACCTCACACAGTGCTGGAGATTCTTAGTGTACCAATCCTCTTGACAATTGGGAGAGCAATTGCTCTCAGTCTCTAGAAGCATAATTGGGGGATCTGTTCTATCTGTTGCATTTTCTTAACACTCAGTTGGCATGTTCACTGCTCCTTTGCACTGATAGTAGAATTACATTTTATATGTAGATATTCTGCCTCCCTAGGGGAGCTCTGTCCTCTGTCTTTCTCCATCACTTCAGACCTCCCCATCCCTGGAGGTCCTACATTTGTGGACAACCTCTTTCCAGTTGTTTTCAACAATAAAGAACTCCCAGTGCTGTTGCTTAACTGGCTAGAGAAAATACCAGACATTCTCTTCTGGGGGTTGAGCATGCTGCATCTGTAGCACTACTATCTTTGATTTCCCCCCCTTCCCAACCCTGACCGTGGGACTAGGCCATGCATTAATGAATGTGTGGAACGTGCGTACTCAGTCTTTTTAACGCTAAGGTATTCGACTGTACTCCAGAGCAGGAGGTACATGATTTCTAATGTTTATTGGTTGAGGGCAGAGAAGCATAGTTTTCCAATCTGTTTACCCTCTTACGTGAGGCAGATGTCATTCAAGCACAAAAGAGACAGAGCTTTCTCAGGGGCCAGCCCAAGACTGGAATGAACTCCCATAAGAACTAAGGACCATCACAAACCTCACCAGCTTCCAGTGGAAGTGCAAGGCACGCGTCTTTGATTTTGCCTTCTCTAATGTAAACACATAGCAATGTGTTTGTATATATGTTATAAACAAAAAAATCCAAAACATAACACTCCCTTGCACACACTTCTTTGCCAGGGAGAGAAGACAATGAACAAACGTGACAGATGTTAGGCCAGAGGTTCCCAAACTGCCGGTCCACCCTGGTTCCAAGCCCCCACCAGCTAGCTGCAACGGGCTGCTCTTTCTGCAAGCAGTGGACAAAGCAGGCAGCTGCCAAACAACATTATAAGGGAGCATTGTGCAACTTTAAACGAGCATGTTCCCTAATTGATCAGCAACGAAACAACGTTAACCAGGATGACTTTAAGTGAGGAGTTACTGTATAAATTACAAGGAAGATATGCCTAGATTAGCACGATCTCATGAGGCAATGTTTAAAACCAAGAAGGCAGGATCACTGTGTAGTAGGTATTGGCTTTTGGCTGACATGCAGGCTTGGGAATTGACCTAAATACTGTTGGACTCAGTAGTAGATCAGCCCATTACCTCTTTTCTATTTTTAGGTAGTAGAATTGCTATATCAGGAACCCGAACTCTTTTTTTTTTAAACTAGGCAATAACAGATGCATTTATTGGACTTTCACCTGAGAAGCTTTATCACCCATTATATTTAACTTGCTTTTCTCTATAGTTTTATCATCGTCACCATTTTTGTCTTATTGGCCATATTGTACTTTTCTGTTTGTCTTTTGTTAACCTATTGCTAGTTAGTTTGTCCCCATCATTACCAAGACATTCTCTTCTAGGTGCTGAATAATCTTGTGATTTTCAAAACTGTAGCCCTTGCACCAAAATGCTTCTAATGGGTAGTCTTGACTATTAGTGCCTACCTGAGTGGAAGCTTCGTTCTTCCTGAAAGCTTTTATACTGGTGGCACTGAAGATTATCTGCATCATTGCTTGTAAGCCTTCTACCATTGTCAGTTTCTCTAGCTGGCCACTTGAAAGGCCTTTATGAGAGCTGTAATATATTGAAAGACTCCTCTTTGCTGATGGTGTCTTGTCTAGAGCTCCGGCTCTCTCCTCCACAACTAGATGAACTGAGGTCTTTTAGGGATTCCACCTGCGGTAATCTCGCCACAGCATCTCGCGCATCACTTCTGTATATGAAGGGAGAAATTACAACCTACCCTTGATCAATGGCAATCTTACATGGCTAACAAGCTTTAACTGAAGAGTTCTCTCCTATTTGGGTGAAATTGTTAACCCATTTGAAATTGTTAACAATGTTTAAGTACCCTAAAAAGTTTTACAAGACTTGCTTCGAATTCATATCGACTGCTATTCCTAGAATATGTTAGCTGTTGCAATTATATTGACCAGTATGTTGTTGTTTTTTGTTGTTGTTCAAGGGAGTCCTCTTCTATTCTTCCCCACAACACACAGAGCAAAACACAGCCAAACCTATGCTTAGGTACAATAGGACCTGCTTTTGAGAGATTCTGAGCATCCACAACTTCCATTGAAGGGTGATCAGTATACATCTCTGGATCGGGTCCTCATTTAGTTTTGTAATCGAGGGGGGGGGGGATCTACAAATGGGAACAAGTAATTTCACATGCTCAAAGTAATTGATCTTATTCTCAGACATGTCCCCCATCACTCCCAGAGTAATCATCAGGTTTATAAGCAATTTATGGTGTGGGAGGCAGTGCCCCGGTCTGCAGTTCATTCACTGACACATTTGTACTGATGAGCTATGTGGAAGGAGTTCAATTGCCAATGGTTATGTAATATTGTCCATTGCACTGTCAATCTCTCTGACTTGTATATATTGTTTCTAGATGCAAATATTAAAATAATGTTTGATATTAATATTGCTGTGCAATCAAATGTTGGGGTGTGTGGAAAAAGTGTTTGTAAGCTTGTTTTAAAGAAAGCGGCTGTTTTCTTGAATGTAGTTGTATGCAGCTTTAATTGGCAAACAAATGAAATAATTTCCTTCTCTTCCTTACAGAAAACCATAGCTAAAATTGCAACATGCCTAGAATTGCGGAGTGCAGCTTTGCAGGTATAGTGACTTAATGTAGTCCCCTGCCATATCCTGTTCTGCTCTCTTTTTCTTTTGAGTTTTAATGAGTGTCCACCAAAAACATGGGAAGACAATTCTATATAGAAATCTGATTTGTGCAGTCAGGGAAGTGACTTTGCTTCTATTCCTCTCTCTGTTAAGTTTCAATGGAATGAAATGGGGAAGCAGGTAATGTGTAAGTCTTTCCAGATGTAGACATGATTTCTGGCTGACAAAGTTAGCAATCTCTTTGAATGCTGGGACTTCTACCACCAGGTAGTTGCCTGAAAGCCTCTGAATGCTTAAGGGCATTTGCGTGCAATGGGGTTTAAATGGGCACGAAACTGCAGGCTTCCTGTTTCCTGTTCCTTGTCACTTCAGATTCCTTCCACAGAAAATGACAGTGCTGGTGGTTTGCACAGAGGCTATACAGACAGGAGCAGAATAGCACTGGAGTGAACTTTACACAAGCCTAGCTGTTTTCACGCTGTCCCTGCTAGACCTCAAGGAAGCACTTCAGCAATTTTCACTCTGCATAGATTCACGTACTCACTCCTCCTCCTCCAATGGAAGCTGTGCAGATACAAATGTTGGGGGGCGAAGGGAAGAGAGTTAACTTTAAAAATGAGATGAGGGGGACTTCTAAAAATGGGAGACGGGGTGACAGAAAATGAATTTAGGCGCTGAGCTGCGGTGTAGGTTTTATTTCTTCCATTATTCATCTAAATAAGGTCCTGTAGAAATCAATTTAAGATGTTTCTTCCTGCATTTTGACCTTGGCTTTTATTCTGTATACCTTTTCACCCCTTTTAGTAGCTAATGAGCAAGTTATTTAAAATCCCCTTCTGTTATCCTGGCTGCTTGTGAAACAATAATTAATAGTTACAGTTACAGAAAATACAGGTAGGGGCTGTACTTCATGATGGTTTATGGACTGTGTGTGTTAAATATGATTTGGTTTATAAGAAATTCCTCAAACTCAGTCTTGCCAGGAAAGTAGCTCTGGCCTTTGTCAAAATTACAGCAGAAAAATCTTGGTTTTAAAATTTTAAAATATAAGCTCTGTTCGCTTTTTGTGACTTTAAACATAATCTAGTGTCCAATATGTGTTAAGACTACAAGGTTTTGATTTAATTTCTGCCTGTGTTAATGCGACATACTTTTTAAGATGGCTGAAGATCTGGGAAGTCTCTTATCTACCTAATCAACAGTGAAGGCTAGCTGTATTGATATCCAAAAGAGAGCGCATCCCCACCAATTGAAGAGGAGGCAGGCTCCATGGTACACTTGACCGCACAAGTCTGGGAGTCAGGAGCCCTGGGTTTTGTTCCCAGCTCTCCGTTGATTTTCTGTGTTACCTTAACCTCTCTGTTCCTCAGTTTACCAGTCTGTAAACTGAGGGAAATACATACTCACCACTCAAGTGCTTTGAGATCTGTTGATGAAAAGTCCTAAGTATTTTCCTCATCCACCATTGGCTGAAGAGCCAAGTGGAAGCAGAGCTGACATTTTATTTTTCCATAGCTGCAGGGAGCTGAGGGTGAAGTGGAATCAGAAACCACTCCCACCCTCTGACCTTCTAGTGGATAAGCTCAACGAGTGCAGGTCCTTTCTCCCAGCAGCCATTGCAGTAGGACAGAGGGTGAATTCAGAAGCTGCATGCCTGACCCTGAACTGCAGCTGGCCAAAGAGCTAAGTGAGGAGCACAGCACAGACTGCAACCAGCCTATTCTCCCGGGGTCCAACTTCCTTACAGGGGAAGGGAAATAGCAAGGAGCATCCCAAAGCTGCGTGATCTGATGTGTGCTTTCAGCTTAGAATGGGGTTTGTAATGGTGTTGGCTGCTGTTTATAATCTGCAACATTAGCTGCTTCATGTTACTCTGCAACTTACCATAGTTCCAATGTGTCTTCCTTGTAACTGCTTATATGGGTGGTAAAGGGAGATCTTCTAAAACTAGTCAGAGCCAGATGCAGCATGGGCAGGGACTGAGCTCTTTGGGGTAGTTAGCAGTATTCAGGCACTTGGGTCTTGGTTGGCTTATCTTTATTTTTTAACCTAGTCACAGGCCTTTGAACAGAAAGTGCCACTTGTCCCAAATCGTGTGATCACCAGCCAACCCACTCATTTGTGACCCATACCAGGTTAAATGTAGAGTGAGACCTGAATGACAAGTGCCTGAACCCACTCTGTGGCCAAACTCAGAACATAACTAGTCTATCGAGAGAACTGATAATCCCTGCTGGCTTTAGCTCTGTAACCTTAGTTCAGAGGGTTATAACCTCATCATTAAAATCTGCACCAACATGAAATTTGAAGCCCCTTTAAACAAATACAAATTATTTTAGTTGTTTTGTGATCCTGTCCTCCAGCCTCCAAACACTGGTGTTTCCCGACTCATCCTTTCCTGAGCTACGGCTTATGCCAAGCAAGCCACACTTCTCTAGTCAGTAACTCAGGGATTTTATAGTGTTTTAGGTTAGGGTCATGGGATTTTTCATCCATCTTCTCATTTTGGGAAGCCATACACACACTACAGTTACATTGTGGCATCCTGTCTGGGACCAAAGTGGCTGGTCAGCCCTTCCCTTCTGCTGGCATGGTATATAACCCCACTACACTAGCCTCTCTCCTGTGACATGCCCAGCCGCTGTTGACACTTGCACAGCAACAATTGGATCCTTAAACTTTGGCCCCATTTGGCCTTATGGAAGGTTTAAGAACAGTGGGTGACCTGGCATTCTGTGGGTGCTCTCCTGCAAGGTGTTGAGTATGCAGGAGCACTCCATACTGTGCAGGACCAAACCCCATCTGAGCCACAGTTCCTAACCCTAGACCTGATCCTTGCTTCAGAACACCTAGAGTTTGGAGGGTTTAAGACAGACCTCCCTTGTCGTCTTAGCACTCATGACTGAAAGTATAAATGAGTATAATTAGGCTGTTTTGAAATTTTCTCATTTCCAGGCTCACAATATGGAATAAACTTGTTCTCTTCAGGATCATTAAAATGACATTGAAATATTAGGGACAAAATTAATGAAAGGTTTGTACTAAAAACCCTCTCACATAGAGACCCCATAGAGAAAACAGCTCAGAACAGATGGACAAAAGCTAGAACAACGCTGCATGCCCATTCTGAAATAGTAATGGCAACAGACGGTGCATAATGAAACCTAATACTATCTTCCTTTGTAACCTCCTAGTCCACACAGTCGCAGGAGGAATTTAAGCTGGAGGATCTGAAGAAGCTAGAACCAAGTAAGTAGTATCTGACATTTTAAGTGGGTGATTTTTATAATTGCAGTGGAAAGTCTGATAGTCGCAGTAATGCTGACTGGCCTAAATGTGGGTAGACAGCAATGCTGTTAAGGTTATTCCTCCAAATGTTTGCTACCACATACATTCTTTAATAACCAGGCTTTAGTGTAGTGCTGGAAGATTTAAATATGGATGTCCTTACACTTCAGTAGTCTAGGAACTTGTCCTCCCTTGAATGGACAGTGCTCTTTAGGGTCAATAATAGTATTATAGTACAGCAGAATCCATCCAGTATAGCAGTGGTTTTCAAACTTTTTTTTCTGGCGACACAGTTGAAGAAAATTGTTGATGCCCGCGACCCAACGGAGCTGGAGATAAGGGGTTTGGGATGCGGGAGGGGGCTCTGGGCTGGGGCTGGGGCAGGGGTGCGGGAGGGAGTCAGGGCTCTGGGCTGGGGATGCAGGCTCTGGGATGAGGGATTTGGGGTGCAGGAGGGGGCTTTGGGTTTTGAGGGGGCTCGGAGCTGGGCAGGGGATTGGGGCACGGGCTTACCTCGGGCAGCTCCGTGTCAGCGGCGCAGTGGGGGTACTAAGGCGCAGGCTTCCTACCTGTCCTAGCACCGCAGACCACGCTGCATCCTGGAAGTGGCCAGCAGTTGGTCTGGCTCTTGTCTGCAGACACTGCTCTCCTCAGATCCCATTGGCTTCCCTGTCAATGGGAGTGCAGAGCCAGTGCTCGGGGTGGGGGCAGGGCATGGCCTAGGAGTCAGACCTGTTGCTGGCCACTTCCAGGGCGCAGCACGTTGTCAGAACTGATAGGAACTAGCCTGCCTTAGCTGGGCAGCACCGCCGATGGGACTTTTAATGGCCTGGTCAGTGGTGCTGACCAGCGCCGCTGCGACCCAGTTCCTTACATTCTGCGGCCCAGTACTGGGTCATGACCCGCAGTCTGAAAATCACTGCAGTATAGAATACATGTATTTTAAAAATTCTACACTGCTTAGTTGAATCTTCAACCTGTATGTATCTCTTTGAACATTATTGTATTTGAATTGTAAGTTCAGTGGGGTAGGAAACATGTCTTTCTCTGTACTGTGCCAAGTACACCGGGCCTCAGCAAATGATTCAGAATATATTCTGATACCAAATTAACTATTACCCAACACACTGATGGTATTGTTGTAATGATGTCAAATCCTGCTGAGGAAAATAGAAGGAAGATAAACTCTGGCAAGTCAAATGTAAAAGTATAGTTAGGCAAGCCTAGTTGCTCTTCAAATTCTAACAGCAAACTTTTTTTAAGCACATCAGAAGCAGGAAGCCTGCCAAAAAATCAGTGGGGCCACTGGACGATCGAGGTGCTAAAGGAGCGCTCAAGGAAAACAAGTCTGTTGTAAAGAAGCTAAATGAATTCTTTAGATTGGTCTTCTCTGTAGAGGATGTGAGGGAGATTCCCACACCTGAGACGTTCTTTTTAGGTGGCAAATCTAAGGAACTGTCCTAGATTGAAGTGTCAGTTGAGGAGGTTTTAGAATTAATTTATCAATTTAACAGTAATAAGACACCAGGACTTTATGATATTCAACCAAGGATTCTGAAGGACCTCAGATATGAAATTGCAGAACTATCGATTAAATCAGCCTCTGTACTAGTTGACTGGTGGTTAGCTAATGCTCCAGAGGTGATCCTGGTAAGTACAGGTCAGGAAATCTAACTTCTTTACTATAGTTACAGTTTACCTGGTAATAAACAGAATTATCAGACACCTAAATGAACACTATGTTGGGGAAGAGTCAACACAACTTTTGTAAAGGGAAAACATGTCTCACTAATCTAGTAGAATTCTTTGAGGGGGTTGTCAAACGTGCACAAGCATGAACTTGTTGATATAGTGTACTTGGACTTTCAGAAAGCCTTTGAGAAGGTCCCTCACCAAAGGCTCTTAAGCAAAGTGGGCCATCATAGAGTAAGAGGGAAGGTCCTCTCATGGATCAGTAATTGGTTAAAATATAGGAAACAAAGAGTAGGAATAAATGGTCAGTTTTCAGAAGGAAGAGAGGTAAATAGTGGGATCCCTCAAAGATCTGTACTGGTACCAGTGGTATTCAATGTGTTCGTAAATATTCTGAAAAAAAGGGATAAACAGTGAGGAGACTAAGTTTGCAGATGATACAAAATTACTCAAGACAGTTAAGTCCGAAGCCGAATGTGAAGATTTACAGAGATCTCTCAAAAAATGGACGATTGGTCAACAAAATGGAAGATGCAATGTTGATAAATGCAAAGTAATGCAGGTTGAAAAACATAATTCCAACAATATATACATACCAAATGATGGGGTCTAAATTAGCTGTTACCACTCAAGAAAGAGATCGTGGAATCATTGTGGATAGTTCTCTGAAAACATCCACTCAGTGTGCAATGACAGTCAAAAAAGCTAACAGAATTTTAGGAAACATTAGGAAAGGGGTAGATAATACGACAGAAAATATCCTAATGCCGCCATATAAATCCATTGTACACCTACCCCTTGAATACTGCATGCAGTTCTGGTTGCCACATCTCAAAAAAGATATGTAAAAATTGGAAAAAGTACAGAGAAGGGGTATGGAAAAGCTTCCGTATGAGGAGAGATTAAAAAGACTGAGACTGTTCAACTTAGATGACTAAGCAGGGATATATAGAGGTCTATAAAATCATGAATAGTGTGGAGAAGGTGAATAAGGAAGTTTTATTTGGCTCGTCACATAACACAAGAACCAGGGGTCACCCAATGAAATAAAGTCAGCAGGTTTAAAACAAACATAAGGAAGTATTTCTTCACACAGCGAACAGACCGCTCATGGAAATCATTGCCATGTGGCAGTGTGAAGGCCAAAAGTATAAATGAGTTCCAAAAAGAATTAGATAAGTTAATGGAGGACAGGTCCATCAGTGGTTGTTAGCCAAAATGGGATGTAACCACATGCTTTAGTGTCCTTAAATCTCTTAAAAAGCAACAGAGGGTCCTGTGGCACCTTTGAGACTAACAGAAGTACTGGGAGCATAAGCTTTCGTGGGTAAGAACCTCACTTCTTCAGATGCAAGTAATGGAAATCTCCAGAGGCAGGTATATATCAGTGTGGAGATAACGAGGTTAGTTCAATCAGGGAGGGTGAGTTGCTCTGCTAGCAGTTGAGGTGTGAACACCAAGGGAGGAGAAACTGTTTCTGTAGTTGGATAGTGTGAAAGTGAAATGAATTATATTAAAGAAATA